TTCTTGTTTTTTCCTCTCGACATGGACGTCCTGTCGTCCACTGCGATAATCCATTGCAAAAAATACCACAAAGAGCACACGCGCGCGTTCATGTCATAATCCTACCGAACACCGTGTGTTTGCAAGCATTTCAACATAACAACATCACAAACCCAATGCTTTTTCACAAAAAATCTACAAATTTCCTGCCCGGGCTCTCTTGCTGAAATCATAGGAAAACCATGGGAATCTTAAGAATTCGGTCAAATCCAGCGATTTCGCGTCATCGCGCGGTGCACTCGCGATGCTCTGTCATGCACCCAGGCCGCGAATCCTGTGCAAAAAACATTACAAAGAGCACACTCGCGCGTTCATGTCAGAATCCTACCGAATACCGTGTTTTTGCAAGCATTTCAACATAAAAACATCAAAAACCCAATGCTTTTTACAAAAATGCTTTGGGGTGTCCTGTCAGACCGTCGGGCTTCCTCCGGCCACCTCTGGCTTCCTGCGGTGTACCGGGCCATTCTCGACTCGTCTGGCAATGCGTGCGCGGCATTCAACACGCGCTCGCCAGTTCCCGTCGGCAACCGCCATCGCGGCCGCATCAGCTGTACCAAACCGGCTGGCCGGTGTGACTTCGGCCCCCAGTTGTGCCAGCTTTGCTTCTTATGTTGTGGGAGGGCGGGTGGGACTGGGCATGCCATGCTTGACTCGCTCGAGCTGGCTAGCTTGACTCCTACTCCTACTCCTCCTCTTCCTCCCCCTGCCCATTTTGATCCTGTCGATCCGATTCGGTCTCGATTTTGTTGTCCGGTCGTTCTGGCCTGCCCGATCCAATTTCTCATTCCGATGTTCCAGCGGGCCGGTGCGGCCCCATGCTCGCATGGGCGGTGCTGTGCATCCTGGCGCAGCCATGCCGACTCCGTGCCGCTGTAACCCGATCTGGCGCACACGTCTCGTTGCTCCGACGTCTGCCGATTCGATGTCGAATGGCCCTGGCGGCGCGCACGCGGGGGCGGCGCGAGGGGGGCGCAGTTTTCCTTGGTCGGGGCCTGCAGGACTGGGGCCCCTCGTCGCCACCGCCGGATGCGCTTCGAAAGTCTCGTCAAAACACACCCAGTGAGAGGTCCGGGGAGTTGCGATATCGGTATCTTTTGGTCCCCCCAGTTTCGAAGAGATCCCCCATGTTGCCCCAGTGTCGGTCCAACGTGGTGTCCCAGTTCTGCCTGGCGTTGCTGACCATGAGGCGGCGATAGATTGTTAGAGGGGGGTGAAGAAAGGTGCACCTCCTGTGCAACTTCGGGGCCCTAAAGAGGTCCTCGGCGGCCCACCAGGGTCACGAAAAGTGAACGTTGCCTCGCCTGTGCATTTATCACCCCCCCAGTCAGCAACGCTTTTGTCGGGCATGTCCCTCTACAGGAGGAATACTGCGCCGATCCGAAAGTTTCCCCAAGTTCGCCACCGTGCTCGCCGCGGCCATTTGGGGTGGCGCGCGCAGGATAAGACTCGCGGGGCCCGAGGGCGGATGGGGGCGATGTCGCGAGGGCAGAGTCGGCGCGCCGATGGGCAACCCATCGCGCAGTTTGGCCGGAGGGGCCCAGTACAATGCAAGGGCAGAGCCTAGCCCCGCCCGGGGTCGCGGGATCGGATTCCCCTTCCCAATTAAAGACCGTTTTGCCCCAAGCGGTGTACTGAGCCGAAAATGAGCAGACGGCATCGGGCTTTCTCTAAAAAAACTTTTCGGGCTCGGTCATGCGACGACCCGAAAAGTTCACCGGCCGATCTGAAAGTGGCCAAATCTCATAGGACTTGTGCCAGACAAATTTCGGGTCCGGTTCGAACGACCCGAAAATGTGCAAACCGCCTTTCGCTCCTCGCAAAAACATCGTTCTCGAGGTCTTCGGGCCCATTCGGAACCCACCATGAACCCCCCCTTTCTCATGATTATATATGATTTTATATATGATTCCCACGATTTTCGGACTCACTTTTGAGGCTCTTTTTTGGAAGACTTTTTGGGCTCCCTTCTACTCAACTCCCTCCGTCTCCAACGCAACACCCATTACTCAACAGCCTCCTTCTGCAACGCAACACCCGATACTCAACAGGCTCCCTCCCCAAGCTGAACTTGAAAAGAACCTTCTACTCAACTCCCTCCGTCTCCAACACAACACCCCGTACTCAACAGCCTCCTTCTCCAACACAACACCCGACACTCAACAGGCTCCGTCCCCAAGCTGAACTTGAAAAGAACCTTCTACTCAACTCCCTCCGTCTCCAACACAACACCCAGTATTCAACAGCCTCCTTCTCCAACGCAACACCCGATATTCAACAGGCTCCCTCCCCAAGCTGAAATTGAAAAGAACCTTCTACTCAACTCCCTCCGTCTCCAACACAACACCCAGTACTCCACAGCCTCCTTCTCCAACACAACACCCGACACTCAACAGGCTCCCTCCCCAAGCTGCACCAAAAACCCCCCTTTCTCATGATTATACATGTTTTTAAATATGATTCCTGCGATTTTCTGACTCACTTTTGAGGCTCTTTTTTGGAAGACTTGTTGAGCTCCCTTCTACTCAACTCCCTCCGTCTCCAACACAACACCCAGTACTCAACAGCCTCCTTCTCCAACACAACATCCGATACTCAACAGGCTCCCTCCCCAAGCTGAACTTGAAAAGAACCTCCTACTCAACTCCCTCCGTCTCCAACACAACACCCAGTACTCAACAGCCTCCCTCTCCAACACAACACCCGATACTCAACAGGTTTCCTCCCCAAGCTGAACTTGAAAATCACCTTCTACTCAACTCCCTCCGTCTCCAACACACAACACCCAGTACTCAACAGCCTCCTTCTCCAACACAACACCCGATACTCAACAGGCTCCCTCCGTCTCCAACACACACACATGTACTCCAGATCCTACCACCACATCGCGACGCGACACCCGAAACTCCAACCGCACCCGCCCCCTTTCTTCTTGGCAGTTTCCAAGAGAAAAGGGGGGTTCATGGTGGGTGCACCGGCGTATATATATATATATATATATATATATATATGTATATATATATATATATATAGATAGATAGATAGATCGATAGGTTCCGGGCCTCGTCCGAAGGAGCCGCCGATGGGCAGACCGATCAGGAATTCCTGCACAAAAAACGGCTTCCCGGGTGAGCCATTGTCAATGGGAACACGCCCCGCGCGGGATCGGGGTTCGCACTGAGGCGTGGCTGCCCTCGCCTTTCCAGGGGGCATACATTACCGCGCCTTTCCAGCATAGCATTTGCGTTGCATTCGCGCGGTGCCGTGCCGTTCAAATCGGAATGAACTTTCGGAGCGCCGATGTATTCCAATATTATCCAGAAGTAGTAGCATGGAGACAAACTTCTAGAATGTTGGAATGTGTTTGAATATGTTTGGGCACTTTGTTAAATATATTCGCAACTCCGCTTGTAGGACATGCCCGACCGAAGGCAACGCCTTATCCTGACTTCGTCTTGCTTCGGAGAAGGCGGGAGGGGCTTCTCAGAACGTCAGGGAAGCCCTCTGCCTTGTCAGAAGTTCCGCCGCCCTCTTAGGAAGGCCACCCCTGGGCAACACCCTTTTGTGCGCGGCTCCACACAGGAGCGGCTGGACAAGCTCGAGATGCAGCTGGTGCGGTGGTTCGACTACAACTACAAGGCAGCGGCCTCTCGTGCAAGCGGGATGGACGGGGAAGAGGGGGGCGAGGGTTTTCCTCGGCGACGGCCTCTGGGGAGCCCGCGTCGGTATTTTTGGGGCGGTCAGAAATTGATCCAGGGGTGAGAAAAAAGAGAGTGCCTCAGATGGACCCCTGGAATAGTTTGGGAGCAGGCTTTGGTTCGGCTCTGGTTGGAGGAAGGGGGTGGGGGAGGAGGAGGAGGAGGAGGAGGAGGAAGAGGAGAATCATATTCATCAGCGATATTGTAATCAACCCTCCCTCCGAGTCCCCCTCTCGTAGGTCCCTACAAGGCTTCGTCTTCACTGAAGCAAGTGCCCCATCAGCAAGCAACCGTTTGAAAGTCCTGAACTGTGGCAGAAACGCCGTTCCTGGGTGTTGTTTTCACCGCGAACCAACGCAACAGTTGCGCCCTGACACTTCGACAGCGTGCCAAAACACCATATGTGGGGACGCTGACATTGATAATCCCTGAAGCCGCTGTAGACTCTCAAGGCGAATGTGCGCGGCGCGAATGCCAGGCCACGTTTTGAAAGGGGAGCCGCCCTCCCCCCGTGGATATTTTTTTGCGCCTTTCAAGACGAATGTGCGCGGGGCCCCACACGCTGCAAAACCACACGAGGAAAAAAAAGGCCACGGAAAAGGGAGAAGGAAAAGGAACCGCCCTCCAATCGTGAAGCCCTTTTCACTTGCAGAGGAGGATGCACGGAGCGCCACGCTTTGAAAAAGGGGGCGGGCGCCCTCCGTCTGCGAAGCTCATGCCAAGGATTAGTACCATGGCAGAGGGCCTGGCCCGCCCTGTCGACACGCCTCGCCGTGCGACGGGAAGTCATTTATAAGGACCAGGAACGGAGGAGGAGGTGGAGGAGGTGGAGGAGGTGGAGGAGGGGGACCTTTGGAAGAGGAGGAAGAGGAGGAGGTGGAGGAGGGGGACATTTGGAAGAGGAGGAGGAGGAGGAGGAGCAGGAGGAGGAGGAAACGGAAGGGGAGCAAGGAGACATGGTATAGCGGGGGGGGCGGGAGATGAGGGAGGGAGGGAGGGTGGGAGGGAAAAGAGAAGACGTGAAGCAGGAGGAGGGAGGAGCGGGACAGGAAGGGATCTGTAGTGGGGCGGGATCGACGTCGGGAAGCGGTGACATGGAACGCATGAGGAACAGGAAAAGGCGGAGGAGCACGACGAGATAGGATGGGGAGGCGGAGGCGAAAGAGCAGCAGGAAAGGTCGGAAGGAGGCTGCGGAAGAGAAGGCGGAAGAGCAGCAGGAAACAAGACAAGGAGTATGATGGTGATGACGCAGTACTCAGAAGGACAGATTCCTATGAGAGGGGTGAAGCGAGGAGCAGGAGGAGGAACAGGATGAGGAGTCCATGAGGAGGCAGGTGAGTTGAGGTGAGGATGTAGGCCCGCCCCACGATCTGACAGACCGCGGGCTGCTTGTGAGTCGCGCGCGGGCCGTTCTGGGCTTGGAGCCCGGCTCGGCCATTGCGCGAGACCGCCCCCCGACGCGCCAGGACCGGGGGGGCCAGAGTAAACCCAGGATTCGCCAACGATGTTGCAGGACACATTCCCGTGCTAAGTCCCTTCGTCATCCGTCCGTGCAAGCTTTCCGGCTCACTGCGAGCAGCGCCCATCGGGGGCGGCAAAGAGGGGGGTGAGGACTAGGGGGGGGGGGATATCATGGCGGGGCCCATGATATTTCCCCAAATTTCATGGCGCCTCTTATTGTTTCATTACGTCCCTGGCCCCCCCGCTGTGCCGCGCACATGCCGCCAGTCATGATTTGCACCCCCCTTCTTGGACATCTCCCTCTTGGCCGCTCCCGATGGAATCACGGGCGCGGTCTGGGCTGTTCGTCCAGGCGAGGGCCACCCTTTTGGAAGGCCGTGCTTGCTCCGTGCAGGAATGCAGGAAGAACTGGGAACAGAGAGTGTAGCAATGTGTCCAGCGAGAGCTTGTTCAGGACGTGAAAAGACTGCCAGGGTCAAGCCTGGGAGGGGTCCAGGGGCGAATCTCAGTCGGGATGGATTGGGAGGGTGGGAAGGGGGCCGCGTCCTCCTCCATCCTCTTCCTAAGCGCTCAATCCTGCCCCCTCTCTTGCTGCGCCTCCCCCTCTACCTCCTCGTTGTCGCTTTCATTATTCTTCTCCTCCTCTCCTCGTCATCCTCCTCCTCATTCTGCTCCTCCTCCCCCCTCCTCCTCCTCCTCCTCCTCCTCCTCCTCCTCCTCCTCCTCCTCCTCCTCCTCCTCCTCCCGCCCTCCTCCTCCGCCCTCCTCCTCCTCCTCCTCCTCCTCCTCCTCCTTCCTCTCCTCCTCCTCCTCCCTCCTCCTCCTCCTCCTCCTCTCCTCCTCCTCCTCCTCCTCCTCTCCTCCTCCTCCTCCCTCCTCCTCCTCCGCCTCATCCTCCTCCTCCCCCCCTACTCTTCCTTGCGATCCTCGATCCTTCCCTCCTCGATCCTCCTCCACCCTCGATCCTCCCCCTCCTCCACTCTCGACCTCTCCCCAGCTCCCTTCCTGACCCCCTCTCATCCCTTGGCGCCCTCGCGCGAGGCCGACCCCAAGAAGTACCGGAAGATGTGCAAGAAGATCACGAAGCTAAAGGCGACCACCCTGAAGGACCGGGGCCCTCCCCTGAGATCCATGCGTCTCGTTCTGTTCGGGCCGGGCGATGTTGTCAGGCTTCGGGCCCTGGGGCCCACGGACCAATCCAACTCGCAGAACACAACAGACAGATGGGGTCTAGGGCTCGGGTCGTGATTTGTGATGTTTTGCGGTGTTCCAATTTTCAGCGCCGTCGGATCTCAGGCCTTCCTAATTATCCTCCTCTCCTCCTCCTACCTCCTTCACCAGACATTCAGATCTCTTCAATCCCAGCGTTTTCCCATGATTTCGGCCTCCGGGGTCCGCTGGCTGGCCCAGGGAGAAGAATTTGGAACGCGCATTGAAAAACACTTGCCGTTTGATGTCTGGGTATGCTTGCGCTGTGATAAAAATCACGGTGGCAGGTTTTTGGCCGCCTTCGACCTCGCGATGCCTTCGTGGGGCCCCGTGGCCGTCGAAGCGAAGCTCGGGATGAAGACGCTGGCCCTGGAGAGAAGAAGCGGGCCCTGGGGGAAAGGTCGGGACTTCCGGCGGCTCCGTGTTTCCAAAACAGGGCATCGGCGATCTGCCCTTCGCAATGAAGGGACGGATTCCCGAGGGCGAGGCCGCCCAAAATGGGGTCGAGATTGACCCCGAGGTCCGACGTTGCGAGGAAGCTGCAGCATCGCAGAACATCACGACCGGAGCCCTGGACCCCATCTTCTTCCTGCATAGTTCGAGCCCGATCGATCGGTGGTGGCCTCAGGGTCCGAAGCAAAACAGAATCGCCCGATGCGAAAAATTGAAAGGCCCAGATCTCAGGGGACGGGGTCGGATGATCGGTGCATCGGGGATGCGGCTCGACGGAGAGCCGACTCGATTCGCGCCGAATCGAGCCAACGTCGCCGATGCATCGGTGATGCGGCGCGATCCTCCGATGCCGTCTGCTCGGACCCGATCTCGGAGGCCTCCGTCTTCGCAGTGAAGGGAAGGTTCCTGAGTTGGAGGGCGAAGTCTATCTGCTTCTAGAAGATGTCGTTATCACGTTCTCGCCGCAAGCGTCTACAGGCACTTTGGGTGTGGTTATAAATATAGTTATGCCGAACGAATCTATATATACACATACATACATACATACATATATATATATATATGTATATATATATATATATATATGTAGACGCATTCGGGGTGGATACGTCTGTAGACAACGCGTCCGTCGTTTGGTGC